AATCAGGGCACTAACACTCTCAGAGAATGCAACAATTAACATTTATACAGACTCCAAATAAGCCTTTCACATCCTACACTCACGTGCCTCTATACGGGAGGAGAGAGGCTTTCTCACTACAAAGGGCTCCCCAATAGTCAACGCCTCTCATTCTTAAACTCTTACAAGCAGCTTGCCTACCAAAGGCAGCAGTGGTAACACATTGGAAAGGACGCTAACAGTGCTACGGCCCCATTACAACTGGCAATACCTTAGCAGATCAAGAGGCAAAAAGAGTAGCCTTGCGAAATCCTCCCGCTCCTGCCAGCCAAATGATAGCTATCTCTCACGACTCCATTAACTATTCCCCTGAAGAAAAGCATTCTCTACTAGAAGCTGGACACTCAATTTGGCCCCTGGCTGCTAAACCAAGGAAAATGCATCCTCCCACGAGAACAAACATACACTATACTGAGAGATATACATAATTCACTACACGTAGGATTTGAACCTCTACTCCGACTCCTGAAACCTCTCATCTACTGTCCAAACCTGTCTTCTCTTCTACAAGACGTAACCTGCAAATGCTCTATTTGTCACTCGGTCTATTTGTCCCTCCTCGGGGAGTAGCGAGGCCACCCTCTTTTCCTACTCATCGGACACGGGGTTATGTTCCTGGCCAAGATTGGCAGATGGACTTTACTCACATGCCCCCTCTCAAAAGAACCAGATATCTTCTCACCATAGTTGACACAGTTTCTGGATGGGTAGAGGCAGCCTCAGAAAAGGCCTCAGAGGTCTCACATGTGCTCTTAGAACATATTATTCCCTGATTTGGACTCCCCACCTCAATTCAGTCAGACAACGGGGCGGCCTTTATCTCCCAGGTCACACAACAGGTAATACAAACCCCAGGCATACGCTGGGTCTTTCACATCCCATACAGACCCCAGTCCTCGGGAGAGGTAGAAAAAATGAACTCCATCCTCAAGGCTCACTTAACGAAATTCACCTCAGAAGCGAAGGAACCATGGACTTCCCTGTTGCCAACAGCCCTCAAGCGAATCCTGGCAGTGCTGACGGCCCCCACTTTCCTCAGCCCCTTTACGCCGACTCTGTTCCCACACTCAGACCCCCTGCTCCTGGAACCTACCCTGGGGTTGGTTAGACAGCTACTTAGAGACTTTGCTAATGAAACTTTACCACAGTCACAGAGCCCTACTGCACTCAATCTGACCGTACAGCCTGGAGATTGGGCTTTATTAAGAACCCCACATCCCAAACCACTCCATCCAAAACGCGGGGGCACATCTTGTTCTGTTCACTACACCAAGAGCAGCAGAACTCCAAGGTCTTCCAACCTGGATCCACATTTCCTGTGTTAAACCCTGCAACCAGGGAGTTATTACCTCCACCCCCTCTTTCTACAGGGCATCAGGTCCAGAGCAGAGAGAGAGAGAGAGACACAGACACAAAGCCTCATGCGTAGCAAAATGCTGTTTATTCTGAGCATCTGGGTGCAGATGGGTGGAGGCCGAAAAAGGTGTCCATGAGAGAAAAGGGGAGAGCTTTGGGTTTTATAGAAGCATCGTCCCTGTCAGGAGGGTTAAGGAAAGTTAGTTCCCCTTTTGCATTTCATTCCCTTGTCTCCCTAGGGTCTGGCAAAGGCTACTGCCTAATACACCCCTAGGAAGGGGAGAGGAGTGGGTTTTATAGGAGGTTTGGATGGAAGTTTGGGGAGGATGAATTCTTTAAGCCTAACACAGGTCTACTGTAACAGGACCCACATCCATCCAGCTCACCTGCATACCAGAAGAACCGGTCTCAAATCTCCAAGTAGATAAACAGAATTCAAGCCATCACCCACAAACAATCTCTTCGTGGTGGAACAAGCCCTTCCATACCTCCAACTCAATACCGGATCCTGACAAAGTCCTCTACCAGGGAAGTAGTCAGAAAGACAACAACGCCCACTTCCCAGCCCTTTAATTTTTTAAAATTTTTTACCCATGCCTCGCCCTTCCTTTTCTTATATGTATATAATAAAAAGGGTGAAACGTTAGGCTTAAAGAATTCACCCTCCCCAAACTTCCATCCAAACCTCCTATAAAACCCACCCCTCTCCCCTTCCTGGGGGTGTATTAGGCACATAGCCTTTGCCAGACCCCTAGGCAGACAAGGGAATGGAATGCAAGAGGGGAACTTACTGTCCTTATCCCTCCTGGTTGTTTGAAAAGAATTTATTTACTTCTCCCAGAAAAATCTTCTATAAAACTCTTCCCTTTTTTCTTGTGGACACCTTTTTCAGCCTCCACCCATCTGCATCCAGATGCTCAAAATAAACAGCATTTTGCTATACATGAGGCTTCGTGTTCTCTCTCTCGGCTCCGAACCTAACAAAGTCCACCCTCTGGGCCGTGTTAAGCAGCAGTCACTAGGTTATCCTCCCCACAAGACGAGCTGCGGGTTTGTCTCTGTGTTCCCAGTGCTCAGTGAGGACACAGCGGAGTCTGAAGGGATCTGGTCAATATCTGTGGATGTGAACTGTCTGAAAAGCTCTTTAGTGTGTTTTTGAAAATCAAATTATATTTTAACCCATATACCTGTCTTTTTGTCAAGCAAAGAAATGGCATAAACTGTTGCTGTTTTGTTTTTCTTTGGGGGGATTTTTTTTGTTTGTTTGTTTTGTCTTAAGTCAAGGTCTCACTGTCTTGCCCAGGCTGGGCTTGAACTTCTGGGCTCAAGCAATCCTCCTGCCTCAGCTTCCCGAGTAGCTGGGACTACAGGAATACACCAGGCATACATTTTTAAAGGTGATTTTGCATGTTCACATATTTGTGATTCCTTAAATTTGAAGCATGCCTTTCTTTATTCACTAGTGGGCTCCTTTCTTATTTTAGCAAAGAAAATACCCAACTGCCTAGCACAAATTGGCACTCAGTAAATATTTGTTGAATGAATAAAACTAGATTCTAAAAATCCTTTAATTCAATGCACTTCTACACTTTCTACTTTTACAGTTTGTTAAATTACACTCTGTTAGAGTGATTACATTTTGTGCTCTATTTCTGATTTAAGTAGAGAAGCAGAGTTTATGGAGGGGAAGAGCAAGGGAGCAAAAGGAACCCTGGATATCACTGGGAACTGCTCTCGTTTACATGAAGAAAGAGGGCCAGACAGTGGACAAGACTTGCCCAAGGAGACCAACGAGGTGGTGACCAGTGCAAGAAATCCAGGTTTCCTAACTTCCAGTTCTGTCCACTCCACGCAATGCCTCTCACCTGCACCTGCAGGTTTACGTGTTGATTATGTGGCTAAGGAGAGATAAAGATCATTTACCTTCCCCAAGACAAGTTCTATAACATCATTGTGCACTCCGATCACTAGATACACGTGTGGATGAGTGACTGTGGTTTTTTAAGGTGTTCATGCTTACTGTTTTGGACAATATTTCAACATAATCATGCAGAGGAAAAAACACGGAAGATAAAGAAAATAGCTGTTTATTCAGCAACAGCCATTGTCTTTCCTTATCACTGCTAGAATAAGGAAGTGCGTGGGGCTGTCAACACAGAGCTCTGACTCCTCCCAGAGTGCAAGAGAGAAGGGGTGGGGGTCAGTGCAGAGAAAAAAAAAAAGAGAGAGAAGTGGTGTGGACAAAGGCATAGATTTCACACCTGGAGACCTGGATTCTAGTCCCACCTCTGACCCAAACTAGCTGTGTGATCTCAGGCAACTCCTTTCCCCTCTCTGGTCTTCAGCTTCCTCCTCTGCAAAAGTGTCAGGGATGGTGCCACGCATCTCCAAGTCCCTTCCAACTCTGATATGCTGCCATTCTCTCATCAATATGGGGGGACTGATTGTGCCACGTGGCATCATGAGACTTCTGACTTGCATGCTTCCCACACTGATGGCCTCACCTCCTGTTTGAGCATGTACAGCACGTACAAATTGTAGAGGGACTGAGCGACCTCCCTGCCAGGCAAGGTTCACACAGATACTCCTTCAGCCTGAGGTCTCTTGGCTGGAAATTTTCTGACCCTGATGTTCTAAAAATGTTCCTCTATGGTGACCTGCGCATGGGGGTCTTGGTTTTCCAGTTAAATGCTAAGCTCTTTGAAATGTCTCAGAATTCCCAAAGAAAGCTCACTGCGTATTAGACAGACAGAATGAACACAGCGACTCTTCCTCTTTCAGTACCCACTTTTTTTGCCTTCTCTCCCCTCATAGTGCTTCCCCATCATCCCTCTACCTTGTTATTTCTGCCAGGGCTGTAACAATACCCTTCCATTCTGTGGGGATACCAGATTGCTCTTCTACACGACAGCTCAAAAGCCCCCTGTGGCTACCAATTGCCCACTAAATGAAACCTGTGATCTGACTTCGGCCCTGCAGGATTGCTGCACCAAAAGGGACTACTCCCAATGAACTGCTTACATGTGAACTCTCCACGCATGCTAGGGCCTGGTGACTGTTAGGTCTGGAGCTGAGAGACAGACACATGAAGCCTCACGTGTAGCAAAATGCTGTTTATTTTGAGCATCTGGGTGCAGATGAGTGGAGGCTGAAAAAGGCGTCCACGAGAGAAAAGGGGAGAGCCTTGGGGTTTATGGAGAGTTTTTCTGGGAGGAGTAAATAAATTCTTTTCAAACAACCGAGAGGGCTAAGGAAAGTCAGTTTCCCTCTTGCATTCCATTCCCTTATCTCCCTAGGGGTCTGGCAAAGGTTACATGCCTAACACACCCCTAGGAAGGGGAGAGGGGCGGGTTTTAGAAGAGGTTTGGATGGAATCTTGGGGAGGGTGAATTCTTTAAACCTAACAGTGACTGGCCTTCCCCACCTGCGTGATTTAACCCCGGAGTTAAGTCCCTTCTCAAGTTTTCGTTAGTCCATCAGCAGCAGAACGCTGCCAACGCCTCCTTGCGTCTTTCCCCGTTAGAACGCCAGAGGGCGCTCCATGGAGGCCGACCCACAGAGGAAGCGGCTCGGTGGCCGGTCCGAGTTGACCCACCCACTTTTCCTTCTGAGCCAATCGTTAGCCGTAGCGGGCGGAGCCTCGCGCCCAGCAGCTGCGTGTTAAGGGGGAGCGGCGGCGCCCCAGCGGCAGAGATGCGGACTCCGGGGGCGAGGTCGTGGGCGGTCGGCGCTCTGTTGCTGGTGCTCTTCGGAGCGGCGGAGTTGGCGCCCCGGTTTCGGCGTCAGAGCGGCTACACTCCCGACTGGCAGAGCCTGGACTCCCGGCCGCTGCCTTCCTGGTTCGACGAGGCCAAGTTCGGGGTGTTCGTGCACTGGGGCGTGTTCTCGGTGCCGGCCTGGGGCAGCGAGTGGTTCTGGTGGCACTGGAAGGGCGAGGGGCGGCCCGACTTCCAGCGCTTCATGAGCGACAACTACCCGCCCGGCTTCAGCTACGCCGACTTCGGGCCGCAGTTCACGGCGCGCTTCTTCCAGCCGGAGGAGTGGGCCGGCCTCTTCCAGGCGGCGGGGGCCAAGTGAGTGTCGTGGCGGGGCTGGCGGGGCGAGCGGCGGTGCGGGGCTGGGGGCTCGCCCGGGGCCACTCGGCTGCCGGCCCGACTTACGGGTGCCCCCGGGTCCTGTGTTTTGCCTCCCGAAGGATGCAGGATTGAAGGTGGCGCAGCCGGCCGTAAGGAGAAGGTGCGTCTGCTTGGGGATTGAAAGATGAAGGTTTCTGGGAGGTGGTGGGCCCGAAAGCCCTCGCTGTCCACAGCCATGTGTCGAGAGGATTGAGCGAGGCGATACCTAAGGCCCCTTCTTGATCGACAAGACAATCAGGATTCCAGGATTTTGAATCAGTGGTATGGCGTCTGGTCCTAGTTCAACTGTGAACTTGTCACTTCAGCCTCCTGTGGTTACAGAAAGGGATCGTATTAGTAGTTTCTTCAACTCTAATGTGTCTAGGATGGAAAGGAAGGGAGTTCTGGCGTGCCGTGTTGTTTGGGCAACGGTACAGATTCTCATCCATCTGCTCCGCTCTGTGCCTTGCACATATAAAGTGTCCCAGAAAGTGTGAATGATTTTGAGAACTACTGGAGTTTGTGGGTGGTTGGTCAGCGAACTGAAAGAGTGGAGAGTGCTGGGGTAGGGACAAGGGGAGGCAGTGGAAGGCAGGGGCCTGTTCCGAAGGAGTGAGCCTTAAATTGGGGAAATGGTTACTCTCAGCTTCTAGAAGGATTCGTTTGGCTGCTGGGAGGGAAGTGGATTGGAGAAGGGTACAAATGGAAGCAGGGAGGTCTCCTCATCTGCTTAGAGCAGTCTTCCAGCCTTACCTGGGTTCCTCAGTCATCTGCCAGGTTTTAGTTTCTCTTGGACTTTAGGTTCTCTTGTACTAAAGAGAAATTACAGCTGGCATTTAGTGTTTGTCATTAAATGTATGGAAATA